GGTAGCCCAGGCTGGCCTCGAACTCACAGAGATCCACCTGGCTCTGCCTCCCGAGTGCTGGGATTAAAGGCGTGCGCCACCACTGCCCGGCTAGACAATCATCTTTCTTTCAAGATTTGTTTTATGAATGTTTTGACTGCATGTATGTGCACCGCTGAGTGCCTAGTGCCCACGAACGTCAGAAGAGGGTTGGATCTCCTGGAACTGGACTTACAATTGGTTGTAAGCCAGCACCTGGGTGCTGGGAACCCAACCTGGGTCCTCTGCAAGAGCACCAAATGCCCTTACCCATCAGCCATCTCTCCAGCTCCTAATCATCTAATCTCAACTGTGTGTATATGCCTAAACACTGATTTAACAGGGTCTCTATAGCAAATACATATAGGCTTGCACTTGAATTCCTTTTCAACTGCTGTTCACCTCATTTACACTTAATGTGTGCCTGTTTTGAGATGGGGCCTTCATTGGTTCAATTTATACAGAAAAATAAACTTTCTGTTCTCTGTGAGATGGGGGAGGTTACCTGACTTCATAGGATAGGTACCACAGCTCTGAGTACAGACTTTAATGAGTTCCTATCTTTACAGCTAGTAACAATCAGTAGTGGATAACATTAGAAACTCTATTGTGAAGATACTGATTCACACATTAGTAAGCTTACTCATATTTTTAGGCAAGTTTCTAAAGGGTCTATATAACAAAACTATAACTTTTGCACTAAAAAACTACATAAATGTAATCCGTTATAAACACATCAAATGAAGGTATGGGATAATACATCTTAAAATGTTAATGTAAATTATTCTAGGAAGTTGGTATGGGAGGGTGCTGCTTTTTTGTAGAATCTCTAAATTACTTTTTTATAGGGAATCTTAATATTTTAAAGCATTATTTCTTTTAAAGGTCTTCAAAATTTGTTCATGGGGGCAAGACCTTTATGCAGTTCAGTGATATAGTGATTGCTTAGCATTCCCAAGGCCCATCACACACACACACACACACACACACACACACACACACACACACACACACACAGGAAAAAAAGCACTTGTTCATAAACCCAGAAACCCTGAAAAATGTTCAGCTCCATACCATACTTTTTAGCCAACAGATGCCTGAGAAAAGTGACTCTTTCACGATAATGCAGGATTTGGATCCCACTCTTAAGTCTTTAGCTTTTAATATTTATGTGGCAGATTTTCATTCACTATGCCACTTTTTAATATTAATACAAAGGTGCCCAGAAACAAACAATAAAGCTACAGTAATAAGCTGAGTCAGCTTTTATGTTGCAGATATTTGAAGCAAACTTTCCAAACTATAAGCTTTGATTTAGAACCTTTGTGGAATCTGAATCAAACCCTAATTAAAACAGCTATTTCCTAAGCCAGGCCTGGTCATACACACCTGTAATCCCAGCACTTGACAGTGACAGGAGAATTGAGTTCAAGGTCAGCCTAGACTACACAGTGAGTCAAAAAAAAAAGTTTCTTTATAAACGCTCTACTATCATTTCAATTCCTCTTTAATTCAAGAGACAGTTTAACTAGTATGATCCAGTCTAGTGAACGGGAATGTTTTTCTGTTCACTGTTCACTCACCATATTCCAAGTATTTTGTTCTAAGTACGTCTGTATGATTTAAGTCACTAACCCAATAGCCCCGTGAGGCTGGTAATACCTCCATTTCAAAGGCAAGAAAATTGAAGCAAACAGATTATGCTTCAATTATAATGCCCAAAAATCACATAACAAAATCACTGATCCATAGGGAAACACAGGCGTGCTGTGATGTAGAGCTGTCAAGGCTCTAGTTTGGGGCTTCAGCAGCTGTGGCAGCTGGCAGAAGCAAAACAGAAGGGCAAGTTCTCCATGAGAGGGGTGGAGTGACTTCCGTTTTAAACACACATACTCGGCTTGCCAGGGGGCTGCTTTTAAGTATTTCCAGGACACAGTTGAATATATTAAAGCTGAAGTTCATAACAGACTCAAAGTATAGATCTGAGAATCCAAGTAGAGCTAATAATTTAACTGGAACCACACCAGTGGAGTATTTTGTTAATTAAAAAAAAAAAATGTTCATCCAGCATCCTTCCTTCCAAACACTGATGGCCTTCAAGCCTCACCTGTACCCAGATTTTAGTAAAAAGTGGTCAAATACTCAATCTTCTCAGTCAATTCTTTAGGCATGGTTTTTTTTAAAAAAAAAAAAAAAAAAAAAAAAAAAAACCTTAGATATACTTAGAATTTTTCACCTACCACTTCATTAAGAAAACATTATTTTCTGACCTTAAAAAATACTCTATGGCACAATGCCTTTAATCCCAGCCTTTGGGAGGCAGAGGCAGACGATCTCTGTGATTTCGAGGCCAGCCTGGTCTACAGAGCAAATTCCAGGACAGCCAGGAAACACAAACACTCTTGAAAAACAAAAACAAAAACACACACACACAAAAAAAGGAAGACTCTAAAGCCAGATATTAAATCTTTCTTCATCTGCACTGCAGTCATGAGCTTCTGAAAATGTTTTGGTAAAGGATAAATGACCAGATGTGAGGGAAATTGCCTTCTGAAGCCTCTAAGTATCAAGAAATTTGATCCTGGCCAGGCAGTGGTGGTGCACACCTTTAATCCCATCACTCAGGAGGCAGAACCAAGAAAATCTCTGTAAGTTCAAGTGTAGCCTACAGAGCAGATCCAGGAAAGGCACCAAAGTTACAGAGAAACCCTGTCTCAAAAAACCAAAAAGAAAAAAGAAAAGAAATTTGATGCTGGACTTGAAGTCTAAATAATTGATTTTTCTGCACTTTACCACTAATAAATCCTGAAAAATAGAAAATTTAAGTAAGCTTTGTTTTATGAAGTATTTTCTTTTTTTTGGTTTTTCTAGACAGGGTTTCTCTGTGTAGCTTTGCCTTTCCTGGAACTCGCTTTGGAGACCAGGCTGTCCTCGAGCTCACAGAGATCCACCTGCCTCTGCCTCCTGAGTGCTGGGATTAAAGGCGTGCACCACCACCGCCCGGCCTATGAAGTATTTTCAAACTGAAGTTTTACAAACCAATCTGACACAAACTAATTTTAACTATGCTCCTTATCAGTCTGACTTTTTTCCTAAAATACCCCTCTCAATTGTGAAATATTAAATGCTTCAGAGAAAGTGAAAAATATACGTATGAAAATTTAAAATACCAGGCCAGAATACAGCCTTTCATAATGGGAAATATTAATAACAGGAACATGCATCCGTCTATTAATAACTATAGCAATTAAATTGGCAATAGTTAGGAATGTGATCTTAATCTAAACAGGCAGAATGGTTTATCTGATAACCATTGTTTTGCTGATTCCTGTACTTTACACAGACAACCTTAGTGCTTAATGAAAACTAGGATAGTTTAAGGCGGCTCTGGACCCCAGTGTTCTCAAACCTCCAGGTGGCTCTGAACCTTAATATAATGCAAAGATGAATTTCTCCATTTCTTTACCCTGTGTATTCCTTTTTCTGAAAATACAAAAGAACAGCATGTATCTTTATCCACAAAACATGACCACACCATTCAGTCATTAAACTCCATGAATCCACCTCAACTCTCACTATTCATAGAACAAGGTAAACATTATAATGTGAACATTAGTAGCTTTTATTGTGCAAGAAACAACTTTATGAAATAACTTTCATTTCTATACATGGAAACTTGCTGAGTAGCTAATAAAATAGCTACTGTATACGTGTACTTAAAAAAATTAAAAAAAATAATAAAATGAACTAACTTCACTGCCTGTAGGCTAGCTTCTTACTGATCTTAGCACCAATGAACAGGAATAAACACTTCTGGAAATGAGACAAATAGTAATAAAGTCCTATAGTAAAGTGATTAAAGCTAACTGTTCATTTCACTAATCTTACTTAAAACCTCCTTACCTCAGCCTATGTAATCCTACTTCCTAAAGAATGAAAACCTGGCACAGCGTTTCTGAAAACAACCAACAAAATTCAACAAAACTCCTAGCATTATAAGTAATAAGAACAATTTTGAGATCTTATGAAAAACAATTTTTCCCAAGCTGACCGGTCTAAGGACTGAAATCAATATTCTCACTTCTCTAGAAGAGAGTCTAGCTCTTCTTGCAAAGAGCTAAGCTGCTCTTTCTCCCTGTCTTCCTTTTGTTTGAGTTCATCCAGAACAGCCTGAAACCTGTTCTTGAGAGCCAGGTTTTCTACTTTCATGATGAGGTCCTCCTGGCGCTTTGCCCTGTCTTGGGTCTCTTGAAGCTTGCCTTTCATGTTATCAATCTGTTTCTGAATTCCCATAACCAATTGATTGGTTCCTTCATTTTCTTGGTGCTGTTCATCTGATTCATTGAGCTTGTCTTGTAGCTGTCTCTCCAGATCTTCCTCGGTGTCAATAATGTTTACATCTTCTTCATCTTCACTGCTGCTGCTGAGGTCATTGAATATCTCTCGAAGTTCATCATGTTCCAGTGAGTCGTGGCCCTGCCTGTGGCCAGACATTCCTGGAGAGGAGATATCAAGGCCTTGATTCTCTGTCTCCTTTGTTTCATCTTCGGCAATTATCTCCCAACGAGTGCTGACCGCTTCTGCATCTGTACTCAGTAACCGCTTCACTTCCTTTTCCACATCCGGAGATTCGATATACTTCTTCTTGGCTGTCTTCCGGAACCTTCTCTTTCTGACGTTTTTTAGAGGTAGAGTAATTCCATGGTTCCAAACAAATTTTTTCTCTTTATCCTTATCTTTTTTCTTGCTTGCTTTGGGATCAGCAGTGGCAACTGGCTCCTCCACAGGAGGGTATAGGTCACCATCTACTGTGGATACGAGCATCTGACAGATATCTGCTGTCTTGTAAAATGTT